CTCTTGGGGAATGGCTGGCTGGGTGTCGTCCTGCTGAACCTCGGCTCCGTTTTCGGTATCTTTCATGATTGTGTCGTTGGCTTCAAATCGATGTGTCCCATTTGTGGCAGGAGGGCCGGTGTCTTGAGATTTGCTAACAGGCTCCGAAATCGGGGTATGATCGACTTCCATGGGTGAGCTTGTCGAAGGCTTTTGCGAACTTAAGGTCGGTTCGGTAGCGTTCTCTTCAGGGTCGGAACGAGTCTGCGAAGTCTTAGGTTTATGAAGGCCATTCACTTCTGCTTGGCCCTCTGCTTGGTTCTTCTCTTTGTCATCCGCGACAGTGGTTGCAGGATTTAACAATTGGCCAGTCGTTTCTTCCCCAACCCCATTCATCTTCTCGCCATTTTCTCCCTTGTGGGGGCTTGTAGGAACGGCATCGCTTTTGGTCTCGTGGCCCTGTGCCTCAGATACAGCGTCCGATGTGGGAAGCTCGCTTTCTGCCTCGCTCTTCAAGGTTTTCAACTCAGACTTGCCGAAGAAAAGGCCAAGTAGACCACCAGCCTCATCAGCTGAGCCGTCGTCATCACTCTCTTCCGAATCATCCTCGGCAGAGCCAGATTCATCACTGTCCGTAGTACCCATATCATCGTCCATGTCCACAGATTCATCAGTTGTGTCGTCAGCTGGCCCGGAGTTATCATCCACCCCATTCACGATGGGGGCCTGAGCTGCGTCCGCAGGTTGCTCAGTATCATGCTTAATATTCGGAATATTGGCATATTTGGCCTGAAGTTGCTCTTGAGTCAGCCCCTCGTCGGCGACGTCTTCACCACCATCGTCATCCTCCTCATCCCCGGAGGATGACATGTTGTCGCTGTTTTCATCGTCAGCTTCGTCGTCGCTGCTCTCAGAGCCGAGTTCGACCCTTCCATCACCATCAGACGTAAGACCCAGATCATCCGTCATATCGGACATATCATCCTCATCCGAAATCATCTCTGAATCTAATCCGGCCTGTCGGGCTTGTAGCTTCTGTTCAGATAAGTTGACCGCCTCATTTAAAGCAGCTTTCACTCGGCGCTGCTCCTCGGCCTCCCACTGCTCCAAACGCCTTCTATTGACCTCGGCTCGAACGTTGTCCCATGTCCCAAAGAGTGTCCGTGCAACAAGTCTGTATCTGCCGATCCAATAGTCTTTGGCTTCACGCTCAATCTCTTCTGCCGATTTCGGCTGTCGTCGGATCCATTCATCACGGCACGCCTCGGCCAGTTTCTTCGCAGTAGCACGGTGGCGTCGTTGTTCGTCAAGCATGAGCCGTCGGAAGTTAGCCACTGCCCAGACCATGTGGTCTTGCCGGGCCCATTGGCGCGGCGGTTCTTCCTCACCTTCTGGGGCGAAAAGAGAGCAGCGGCCTTCAGAGAGCAACCCCCCGGGCTCCGCCTCGTCCTCGATTCGTATGATGAGGCGGGCATCCTTGAGGGCGGCTTCGTCTGAGTACGTAGTGCCATCTTCGAGAACTTGAAGGCCTCCCTCCTCCACTGGAACACCACCAGCACGATTCCAGAAGTCTTCAAAACTTGTACCGATCTTCGGTCGTTTGCGTACCTGGTCAGGATGCACCAAGGGGATGAAATCCGATCTACTGACACGCAATTTGATTCGGGGTGAAGGACCAGAGCGCTCACCACGTGTTGAGTGGCGAGTACTGCGGAGTGGTGTCGTGTTCTCAATGTCATCAAACTCGTCATCCTGACGAGACAACCTAAGCGAACGCCTAGAATGCCGAGAAGGTTGGGTAGCTGGAGGGGGGGTGTGGCGACGTGGTGCTCGCAAGGATGACTTCGGCTCTGCATCCGGCTTCTTTGAGTTGGCTTTGGGTGTCAGCCCTGATGAGGACCTTGTATTCGATGATTTCGTCACTGAACTCGGCTTGGAAATCGAGACGGGCTTCGATGCGACGTGCGAGGTACGGCCGGGTCGTGGAGAAGGGGAAGGTGGAATCCTGGCGGACGGTGTACTTTGAGCTCCATTGATGGCGGCCCTTGTCAGTCGTTTCTTCCCAGGGGGTTGGTGTTCGATGGGTATTGCGTTCGTTCGACCTGATCTTCGACGACCATTGTCGGTGTAGGATGTCGGTCCTTCGGCTTCGAATCGTTTCCACGGAGGAGATATCGGCTTGAATTTGGGAGCAGATGGCGGGGGGGTCGCATCACGTGTGCGTCTTCGCTTTGCTGGTCGCTCGTCATCATCGTGCGTTTTGTCAACTGAGTCGTGGCCGTTGATGGCGACGTTCTCGCCGTCTGTCGTGTGGCCGTTGGTTGCTGGGGCTGCTGGGGAATCGGCGGAGGGTTCCATGGGGACGTCACCGACTTCGACGCGTCCATTCGGTAACTTGTTGCCCGTGACATGGCTTAAAGGATGATCATTGATCACATCTTGACCTTCTCGCGTCAGGAATGTCTCGTCATTGGAGTCGTTGGTGCCGCTTGGAGGTGCATCGGGCAGCACACCATCGGCGGACGCGGGCTTGGTCATAATAGGAACTGGGAGCCTAAGGGCGCAGATGGCTTGGTCTCCCCGAGGCTGTCATTTGGCGACATAAAACTAACGTCTACGGAAGCGTCTCGGCTGGGCGGATGTCCTCACAGAGTTTGCACATGACCAGAGGCCCATGGGGTGGGCTATGATGGTTTTGATGTGCAAATACAGTGTCGTCAGCAAAACTTTTAGAGCTGGAGGTTTCGAGATGCGGAATCACGCGCCCCCCCCTGTGACTAGCGATGGGTTATAGCAGCCGGCGAGAAAAAATTGGACAGCACTGCCCAACCAACAGCTTGCACTCACTGGCAGCCCTGCTCCAATACACGCGACTGCCTAGGGGCGGGTCCCACTTTCGACTTTCGGGGAATCGAGGTGGCGGATGACTAAGCCATCCAATCCGGTGTTGTGCCGCTAGCATGAACGCTATCAACAGCTCTGGTCAGAGGTTGCTTCTTCAGCTGGCTCATGGACAGGATGAGCAAGTGTTTGCGTAGTAAATGGCTAGATAAGGCAAGGCGATAATCCCCATAAGGAGCTCTTGCTCTGAGCGCTTGTCATTCTCGCACGTTGTTGTGGCCCAGGCTAGCCGGCGAGGCAAATGAGAGAGCTGTATCCAGTCGACAGCAGAGCTGTCCAGTTGAGCTCAAAGCACGGTGAAGCATGAGTTGCTTGAGTGGCCATCATTCGAGATTCCGGTAGTCTGAAGTTCGCATACATCATGCTCGATCAAGGCATCATTATTCATCTGTTGGCGAGGATGGGCGTACAATCATTCAACGCCAATTTGTGTAGCTTGCTCTGTGTAACAAATACAGTGGCCATAGATGCCCGGCAGATCTATGCTTAGTCATATTTCAGCCTTATATTCAAGGCACAAAAAAGATGACCATCTCCGTTAACCTCATTCGAGTTCGCGACCAGCAGCCATCTCGAAAACCGCCCACAGAGCAATTGACGTCCCCCGCATTGTCAATTAGCTCAAGGTATGTCACAGATATTTTCTCAAACACTGTATCATCAGACTATATTCTAACATAAGGCTTCCCTCTCCAGATGCTCTCTCAGCGAGTTATCCGGGCCTCGGCCCTTCGCAGTGGAATGGCCGCCGCTCGACGACTACCAATTGTCCAGCGACGTACCTTTCTCCCATCCGAGTACACCGACCGCAAGACACTCGACGCCAAATACCCTGATCCCACTCGATTGAGCGCTGCCCAGGATCCTGACATGGTCAGTTCAATTGCCTCCGGGTGCCGAATTAGATGGAGTCGTAGTTATTTGCTCATGGTGGAAACTAACCCTCACATCGCGACAGAACGGAGGCTATATCAACCCCCCAGCCATCAAGCGCCAGCATCGTGATCCCCATGCCGACTGGTGGGACCCTCAAGAGCGAAGGAATTTTGGAGAGACCGTTCACGAAGACAACGATATCCTCGGTATCTTCTCGCCTTGGGACTACACCTGGACGACCACCGGGCCCGGTCTTATTATGATTGGCACCTTCATTGCCACCGTTCTGGGTGTTTCCGGCTTGGTATACCTCAACTATCCAGACAGGATCGCATACCCCAGAGAGTTCGAGAATGGTCTGGAGCGAGAGCTTGGTGGGCCCGGCGCCGTGAGGGTACGTATTGGAAGAAACAACGTATGTCTTGATGGTCATTATCCAACTAACATACTTCTAGGCACGAAAGGCTGGCGATGAGGACCCATGAAAAATCAAACTGCAGACAACTTCAATTGCGTTTTCCCTTTGTAAATAATCTGTAACCTACAGGAGGACCAGAGAATTCAATGTGTTTTTATTACTATGAACTCCGCATCTAGTGATCACAACTGCAGTAACATCCCGCTAAAAAGTGAAGCAAGCCATCTATGTTTTTATCGTTAATCGTCTTACTAAAAGGTCAGATGCTACACGTCCTACAAGAGGAGAAGAGCCGTGAACATCGCTTTCTTACTACAGTCTGAATGCTACCGAGAACTAATCCTTGCCCTCAGGTGCTAAATAATACTCTAAGTGCTCTCTCTCCAAGTACACATTGGGCTCTGGCAACAAGACACATGCTGCCATGCTTCAAAGGTGTTGGCTACATGTCAGTAGGTAGGTACCTAGGTAGGTCGAATAGATGGAAAGGACCATCTGCTAACATAGAAGGCAAGTAGACCCATAGATACATGTGCCTTCCTTTGCCTGAGGTATATGGTAGCTTCAAGTGTTGGGTTTACAAATTCCGAAGGGTGCATTGACGGCAGGTCAGTTAAGGCAGGCAGGACTGGGCGATCAAGCCCAAGGCAATAAACATGGAACTCTCAGGCAAACCGTCTCCGCCACCGCGCTGAATTTGTTTTTTTTCTTTTACCTTGAATTGAACTATTCACATTTGGTTATTCAGCTCCAAGCAGTATACACCCAACACAATTCTAGCCGTGATCCAAATACAACTGCTACCTACTCCTCAGACACTCTTACAATGCGGTATGAAGACTGGGACATCGTTCTCGTCCCAAGAGACTCCAAAGCCCCTCTGAAAGAATTCAACGTATGCTGTCATGTGGTCCCAGATCCTGGTATGTCCATCAACATCGGCTAATTCAATGAACGGCACTAACAACTATGGCTGATCGCCAGAATTCTCTCACGCTCAAGGGCGTTTTGGTCTCCCCACTCTCTGCTGCTTCGTTCCGAGTTTAGAATTTGGGACCCCGTTCAATATCTCCATTCATAGTTGGGACCGACCACCTGTCAGCCAGTTCACTCGATCCTACAGCAAGTATATTGATAAGGTCATCTTCGAAGCAAGATTGTTCATCGATGGCCAGCTCGTGGCGTGAGATCTCTCATAGAAGTCTTAGTTTTGGCTTGCTCTTACAATCTTCCAGGTCAACTTCCTTTGGGCGCCTAGCTAATTGGCCACATGCCATTTCCAATATCTTTAGTGAGACTGGGATACACAATCCCCTTCTTACAATCCTGGTGGGCTAATCTTTCTCATCCAGATTTCTCCAAAAATGGCGATCTTGAGGCTCTTACATTCCCGAAATTCCAGCGGGAGTTTTTGCAGCAAAATCGCTGGCACCCTGGAGATAACATAGGCAGGATCAAGCTCGTACTGAGTGAAGGCTTTCCTCGCGACTCTCCTTCTATGCCAATAGAGCGCGTCAAGAACATCGTTGCATTCTCATTCCTGCATGCTCCTCTCGGTAAGACTTGCTGAGTGAACCTGATAATAGGTAGACGTATCTATACTCACGAATCTGGGATCCAGACATACTTGAAAACTCCGGGATTGCGTGGCCAAATTCCTTGATGTGGCGTCAATCGCACTTCACTTCTTCAATGCCCGTTCCAACATATGCATCGGAAAACTTGGAAGTGCATACCCATTCACCTCGCCGTAACGCGCCTAGCAACTCCGAACAATTAGCTTCCAACTTGGCAGTAATTCGGAGTCTAATGTCAGAAAACTGCCCCTCGATCAGACAGACAACTAATTTCGATAACCGAAGCCCGAGCTCGGCTATGTTCTACGGCGCTCAGGGATACATCAACAATGAATATTCTCTCGAGTGGCCCAGCATGACCGAGAGTGTCATGGCGAACCCAGACTCACAGCCTCTTAATGATCAAGCCAGTCGTGCGCTACGTAAATCAAAAACAGACACAAGCATGACCGACTATATTCCTATCACTGGATCAGACTGTCAATTCTCGTGCAGCTCGGATCAAACTCATAACTCACAGTCAGAATTTCAGGAAGTATCAGCTTCCATAAACCAGAACAACAATGCAACATCTGGAGAAATTATTGGATATTGTGCAAATGGTAACCTACAACATTCTCTCACTTTAACATGTTCTACTGTCTCACCGTTCATCCCAGGTTCTATGCCATCAATGGCTTCACAGGACAAAGCGATCCCTCCAGGATTGGCAGCCTCATTCACTAACTCATTGCTGAACCAACCAATACCTCATTCCCAGGGGCAGCCAAATACAGGCAGTGCCCCGTCCAATATTGTTAAGTCGCGGAAAGAAGCTTGTCTCCAGAGACAACTGCAACCCTCTCCGACCTCCTCTAAGTCGATCCCTAGCAAACTCCAGACTGATATTCGCAAAGTCTCTCAGCAGATACATATGCCGGCAAATGGTGATAGCCCATGCCTGATTAACTCGTCGAAGCTTTGTCAAGAGGACCAAAATCTCCGCCCGCAAAATATATCAGGTGCAGATCAATATTGTCCAGAAAGCGAGCTCCGAACAATTATCCCAGGCCTTGGATCCATTACTCTAAGAGATATATCTGGAAACTCAGAGAAGGGTACCAAACGAGTTCGGTCCTATACTCCAGCATCTATCAAAGCTATTGATAAGGAGGATGAGGCACGTCGTTCAAGCTCACATACCAAGTTGACACCTTTCGTCGAGGAGGGTACTGAGAGTTAGGGCCCAAGCAACAGCATAGGCTCATTGATACTTCGTCAGAATTATTTATGCTGTGAGAGGTATAGATGGCAGTACAACATGTTTATAGTCATCGGATGAAACGTTCCATAGAAACACTCAAAAGTATTAACCTTTAGAAGGTGGCCTCCTACTTAGGGCTACGCAATGAGATAATCAAAAGTCTTTATATCAAATGGATTGCGAGAAAACCATGCTGCCCTCTTCATATCCATTTCCAACAAGCCTGGGAAATTACTTGGGATAGCTCATTGGTGATGCCTCCTTATTTTTGGGAGGGTGAGAGGACCCGACCCGGGTTGAAGACATTGTCAGGTGGGGAGTTTGACTGGGGCGACACATCTTTGAAACCATAACGAAGGTGTCCAAAAGAGGGCTCATAGAGAACAGAAATCTGCAGTAAAACAAAAAGGTAAAAGTGCCCTTGATTTTGATTTTCAATTAATACAAACCATATATATGAAAGCGTGGCCTATCGATCCTTTAGTCCTTCGACGTGTGAAGCTAGAGGTGCCAGAAAAGTTACCACAAGGATTAATTATATTCATTCTATAGTCCCGGGCCGAGTTTTATCGACTACCTTAGAGTCTAGTTGGCATACTACTATATAGCACTCGCAGTATGGCGACGATACACCTGAATGCTTGCAGTACCAAGTTGAGCGCTGGTGGTAACACCCCAGCGTTCCGATGATAAGCAGTGGCTGATCCCTAGCAACCAACCTCTTGCATTTTGGATTGCATCATTGCTAGGTGACAAAAAGGCGTCGACAGCCTCGGCATGCTAAGAACAAGGTAGCTTTGCTAACGACAAAAAGGGGGGGATTCTTGAGAAGAAATCATTGTAAAACTGGTTGCTCTAACCAGGAATAGATATCTGAAATAATTGAGTACTATTAGTACCTACCTACTGAGGTGCTTTTTCCCTTTCCATTGTGAAAGGAAAGCATAAAATTCATAGCTACAATCCATTCGCCGGCGCTTGTTTTTTTGTCACCATCCCAATTCATATAGGTCCCCACTTACATACATTATCTCATCACCGACCTCGGCTCGCAGCACATCGCTTCAAAGTTAAATCAACCAAACACTCCCAACCGTAGCAATGCATGTGTCTCTAATTGCTTCTGCGCTTGCGTGCGCCTCCCGTGGAATATGCGGCGAGATCCCCTCCTCAGCATCGAGCAATGAGGAGGCGCCAGCGTTCCGGGAGGAGCTCCTAAGCTTGCACAAGTGGCTGGTAGAGACATCATCAGTCTCTGGTCTGGAGTACACCATTAGCAATTCGGTGCACGACTACTTCCTTCGCAAGGGATGGGCTTCAGTGACCACCGGCGTCCCGCCCAGGGAGAACACGCCCAGCAACGAGCCCCGTGCCGACGTCGTGGCCTGGCCCAAGGTGAACGGCGTGCCCAACCCCAGGGTGCTGCTGACGAGCCACATTGATACCGTGCCCCCCTTCTATACCTACCACATTGAAGATGGCGAGGTGACCAAGAAGACGAAGATCAGCGGTCGCGGGAGCGTCGATGCCAAGGCCAGCGTTGCCGCCATGGTGACGGCCCTCGACGAACTTCTCAAGGCAGGCAAGGTTGCTAACGGCGATGTGATGCTGGCCTTTGTCGTGGGAGAGGAGGTTTCCGGTGACGGGATGCGTGAGCTGAATGACTACTTCCACATCCGCGACGTTACTTTCGATGCCGTCATCTTTGGTGAGCCTACCGAGGGCAAGCTGGCTTGCGGCCACAAGGGCGCGCTGCAATGCGATGTCAGGGCTCACGGAGTGGGTGGACACAGCGGGTATCCCTGGCTGGGGAAATCAGCCAATGAGTTACTGATGAGGGCCCTACTGAAGATCATAGACACAGATCTAGGCAGCAGCAAGGTGTACGGCAACACGACGGTCAACGTGGGCCGTCTCAACGGCGGTGTCGCGGATAACGTCATTCCTGAGGAAGCTTTCGCCGGGCTCCAAGTTCGAGTTGCTCTAGGGCCGCAAGAGGAGGGCGGGGATATCGTCCAGGAGAGGATGCGGGCGATTCTGAACGAGGTTGACCCGGAGGCATTTGAATTTGAATGCTCTCAAGGATACGGATTCGTCGAGGCTAACTGCGAGGTTGAAGGTGAGTGACTAGTTTCTTTTCCCCTCGTCAAAATTTATACGTTATGTCAAGGTGGCTCAGTGAACTAACTATTGGGATTACTTGCAGGCTTTGACCAGATTGTGGTCAACTACGGAACTGATATGCCACACCTGAAGGGCGACTTCACCAAGTACCTTTATGGCCCTGGAACGATTTTCGTGGCTCATGGACCGCACGAGAACCTGACGGTTGGTGATTTGGAGTCTGCTGTGGAGGGGTACCAAAAGTTGATTCTCCATGCCCTCCAAGCCAAGGATGGCGACAACTTGGAGCTGTAAGGGCGATTTTCTTCTTGCCTCATTGGAGCCAATTAAGTCTATTGCTGTTCTTTGAAGTTCTCGTTTTATCTACAGATGAAATATTATTATTAAGAATGTCATGGAAAACGTCAGCGATGTTTGATACTGCAAAACCATAGAGAAATGGCAATCTCATCATAAGACGTTTCTTCAATGTCACATTTAAACTCGCTGTCTATCTTTTTCCCCTTTTTTTCAAGCACCAACCACCTTGGCCCAACGCTCGGGCAGGATCTTGCTAAAGTCAAACTTGCCGTCGGGGCCCTTCTCCACGGCACCCTTCTCTGTCACGACAGTGTCGATGAGCTCGGCGGGCGTCACGTCGAACGCCGGGTTCCAGACGCCGACCCGCTGGTCGGCCGTCGCGACTCTGACCTTGGAGCTCTCATCAATGGTACCATCCGGCCGGACGACGGCGCCGGTAATCTGAGTGAGTTCCTCCTTCTTGCGCTCCTCGATCTTGATGCCGTCTCCGGTCTCCGTCTCGAGGTCGAGACTAGTTGTGGGAGCCGCCACGATAAACTTGATGCCGTGGTGCTTGGCCAGGACGGCCAGTTGGTAGGTGCCGATCTTGTTGGCGGTGTCTCCGTTGCGGACCACACGGTCAGCGCCGACGATGACGGCGGTGATGTTGGTCTTGTCCTTTTGGGTGCGGAACAGGGAGGCGGCCATCGAGTCGGTGATGAGTGTGCTGGGGATACCCTCGTACACGAGCTCAAAGGCCGTCAGTCTGCTTCCTTGGTTGTACGGTCTGGTCTCAGTGCAGTAGGCGTGGCGGAGAAGACCACTTGACTGCAGGGTTCGGATGATACCGAGGGCCGTGCCGTGGCCAGAGGTGGCGAGGGAGCCGGTATTGCAATGCGTGAGGACGGAGATGGGTTTGTCGGTCGCAGCGCCGGTGTTGGAGCGCAGCCACTCCGTGCCGGAAGCGCCAATAGCGAGGTTGGTCTGGAGATCCTTCTCGAAGATGCGCTCAGACTCCTCGATGAAGGCAGCAATGATGGTGTTCTTATCTGCGTTCTCGGGTGCTCGTATCCGCGCCTTGAGCTGGTTGATGGCATTGGTAAGGTCGACGGCGGTAGGGCGACTCTGCTTGAGGTAGTCGAGGGCTTCGTCGATCTGGGCTACGGTGTCGGCGGCGGACTCGGTGGCAAGGCCCTGGTTGTGCAGCTCGACGGCAAGGCCAAGACTTGCTACGATAGCAATTGCAGGTGCGCCACGAACGCGCATAGTGGCAATGCTGTCGAATGCCTCTGTTCGGTTGGAGACGAGGTCATAGTGGAATTCGTGGGGGAGGCGAAGCTGGTCCAGGACCTCGAGCTTGCCCCGAGTGTAGCGCACTGCCTGGAGAGTAGACATGTTGGCACTGTTAATTATCCAAGTCAGTAGATATTTCGTAAATCAACAAGGGAAATAGAACCAGAAATGAATGTGGGAGCATTAATGATGGGATTTGGCATTGCACGTTGACATCCATCGCGGGGCAAAACTATCAAATGCCCCTCGTCAACAGACCCCACTATCATTCCGGTATGGCGTCACAGCTTCCAGCCAATAGCTTCGCCATTCTTGCCCACCGCTTGACACCGAGAAGACGGATTCGGTATCTTAGGCCATAGCGTCGGACGCTTGTAGAAGTTTAAGGCATGAGAGACAGAAGGTACAATGCTGAGCTTGGATGTAAAACCTCATTTAGAGAATGGCATCAAAAAACGATGAGTATGATCATCTAATTACCGCCTGTGACGCTTGAGCACTGATGGTCAAAGGTCGAAGTTCCTAATTTGAGACTAAGACGTACCTAGCAAATTCTTTGCTTTTGTGAAGTACTCTTTCTCAGTGTTCTCATGCTAATGTAAGTGGTTTGAATGTGTGTCGTATTTCTAGAAGCACCTTATTGCAATTCACGACGGTGATATCGATAAGGCTTCCGCGTGTAAGTGGTAAAACCAGTGCATAAGTCTCGTCATAGAGAGACTCAGGTAATCAAAAGAGGAAAAAAACCCTTGAAAAATTTAAATTAGAATTTATCTCAAGCCAGGTTAAATTAACCAATAAATATTTGTTTTTTTCTACGGGTAAGGGTTGTTCTATTCGTCAACAGCTTGGCCCGTGGTACTCGGTCTATAGGGTAGACAGGTAATGTGGGCGGGCCACCTGCTTGGGGTCGCATCCTGGGGAAGCTCGTAGCTCCCACAACGCAACTTAAGGGGCTTGATAGCTTTACCTTTTGCAGTGTCAAATCACGTAAAAGCTCAGCTGTTGGCCATGGAACAGCAGAACTACTCGACTTCAAAGGTAACTGGTATGTGCTGTGCCTGATCCCCTTAACAATCACTATGTCGCATCTGCAAGTCCCGCTGACCGCCATGCGCATGCAGTTGAGTACCACGACCCCCACGATGTCTTCAAGCTCCTTGCGCCAGGCCTAGTACCTCGCCTTCCGCTGCAAAATCTCCATTGGCAATCGCATGCCGGTCCACTGCGATCAATCCCAGCCCTCCATGTCGACTTAATACGTGCCGGTGAGGAGGCACAGC